AGGCAGTAGTTACTTTGTCCCAGTTCTCTTCTATTTCGATACCGCCACATTCAGAGAAGCTTATAGTGCAACCAAGCCTATCAGATACTATAGAAAGGTAGTATTCTTGATCATGAGGCACAAAAGGCTCCACAATGAATGTAGTGATCGGGGCCTTACAGCCACCCATCTCGACCTGTGATATATACATAAACATCAATACTACCAACAAATTTAATCCGCTGTTCTACAATCGGTCTGTGATGAGTCACCTCAGTACCGAGGCGAACTTTGACAAACTCTGCAACTTCAGCAAGATCCAGCTTTAGAGCCACCAAGCCGCTTTTCCCGCGCTTACCGAATAGCATATCAGGCTTCACAACTAGCTTTGTGGAAGATAGCCATGACTCCTGGTTGGTTAACTCGGTGAAATCCGTAGATTGTGTCACCTAAAAGTACACACAGCAAACTAATTACCCATAACTAGAAGAAGAAAAAAGGAATCATCTTTCGAAATTCTCACTTAAAGTCTCAATCATAAACAGACAAACACTATACATTTCAAAGTTTCTCATTTTCATGCAAACCCCATCTTGATAATTCAAAAGCAGATTCTATAAGAACAAAATCAAAGAATTCTTGAGAGTGACCTGAGCAGAGCGAATCTGCAGGTCAATATTAGCAAGACGCTTCAAGTGTTGCTTGAGAAGTCTCTTGGAGTCATACTCTCTGATCTTCTTCCTCGCCATCGATTCACAAACTCGAAACCGTAAACCAAAGGAAATTCTGAAACAGAGACAGTAGAAACAACACAGTGATCATGAAGCAGTGATCTTCCTCAGAACTTAAATCACAAAAAGGTGACAACTTTCGAGAAGATAAGATTGAAGAAGAAAGTGATCGCACCAAACACCAAGAGAGAGAAAACGCAGACACCGACTCGGAAATTCAGAAGAGATGTTGACGTTTGAGAAGCCAAAGTCAACCTACCCGCCTAAACCATTACTGTTCCATTTCCTCAATAACCAACCGGTACAGTTAGGCTTAGCCAAACCGGCTATTTATCGATTTCCTTGTTGTACCGGTTTAGTCAAACCAGCTACGTCTATGTAGTAGACCAGCAAACCAAAAACAAAAAAAACAAATAATTAATGGAGGCGTGAATCAGCTGCAACCAGAATCAGTGAGCTTAAACTTGCACTCGTCTTCCACTTGAAGACAAACTTCTAAGATTTTAGCTATCAAAATCAAAGCAAAGAGGAAAACAAATCTCTATGTCGTAGTTACTATGTCTCTTTCCAATTCTTTGATTCTCTTCTCTCAATCAGCCACGGCTCATTCTTCCTCCGCCTGCTCTTGTCAACTCGCCGTCTCTTTTTCTAATTTTCCGGTAAGCTCAAGTATTCACTGTAGTACCTTCTTTCAGCTTTCTTGCATGCTTAGAATTTCTCAAAAGGATCATTTCAAAGTTTATTTTTAGATAAAGGAATGATTTTTCGTGTTCTATGCCTCTGAATCTAAGAAGGTACAACGAAGTCTCTGCTTCAGTTGTTGAAATTCGAATTCTTTT